ATCACATGTTTCGAGGAAGTTGACCAAGTGGAGATGCGGATCTTCATGAGCTAATCCGCTGAATAACCCATTGTTTTGGAGCATAGTAAGGAGTCCCGCTCGAATTTCGAAATTGTTGGCTTCAATGGGGGGCTGCTGGATGCTCGATTGAAACCCATTGAGTGTTGGAACGGTGTACTCATGCAATGCTCGTTGACGAGGTGGTGGATTAATTAGCAGAAGTTGCTCTTGCTCGTTGACGATATTTCCTACCGCATTCGGTAGGCGCCCTTGGTCATCTCCCCTACGATTATTCTCTTCTTCCATTCGCATAAAAAGTACCTAAACAAAAATAATAAAAATAAAATAAGCAAAGAAAATAATAAAATAAAACGGCTGAAGTAAAAAAAAATTGCTCAAATTTAATATTAGGATAAATAGATAATTTAGCCGTATTCCCCGGCAACGGCGCCAAAAACTTGTTGGGTGCTAAATACCAACACGCAAGTGCACGTATCGCAAACAAGTAGTAAAAGTAGACTCGTGAGAGTCGGATGTCGATCCCACAGGGAATACTCAAATTATCTAATCCTAAGTACCAAATTCTAACAATTATGATTTTTATCCAACCTACGCAAAGTTGTCAAATAAAATCAATTAAACAATTAAACTAATTATGAAAGCAATTAAACACGAGAAAATATCAATAAAAACGGACCTAGGATTTTATCTTCCCCCTATGCAAGAATTGCTCACCCAAAACCCCTCAATTATGCAATATCTGATTCATGATTATTAACCCGAGACACTAATTTACTCATAACCCGCTGTCGCGTGTATTATGAGTCTATTATTCATAAATGGTTCACTATATGTCTATGCAAACAAATTATGAATAAAGCATTAACTAACAAGTCTCGTAAATGGCTACCTAAGGTGATATCTGTATGTCTACGACACCACATGCAATTGACACACTCATCCGGTGAAAACTACTCGAAGGTTCTTCTACTTACCGTCTAATTATCAAAATAGCTCTGTCGAGTCAATCGCAATAATCACAGATAAAGCACATAAATTGATCAAGTTCATGCACTAACAATCATATCAAGTAGAAGAAATAATCATAAAATCATAATTGCACAATCTCAAGAAAACGGGTTCACCATCCCCACATAGGGTTCCAACAAAATCCTAGATTAAAAACTTAGCTATGCATAACGAAAAACATAATAAAAGTAATAAAAGTCATAGATTAAGAAAAGATAGGTGAAAGAAGAATTATGATGAAGAGTTGTCAATTCTCCGTCTTCGATTCTTCGTTCTCTCGCTCCTCTCGCTCCAAGGTTGTGTCAAAAGTTCTTTGATTCGTGCTTGGTTTGGGCTTAAATAGATGTCCCAACTTGGTAGATGATTCTAGGTTTCCTTGTGTGTTTAAAAGTCCAAAATTGCCTCCAACGTGATTTGGCACGGCCGCGCGAAAATCAGTGCAATTCTCGCACGGCCGCGCGAGAATCGCCGAACCTTCTGCCCAAATTCAGCATTTGGCACGGCCGTGCCAAAATAGGCTAATTTTGGCACGGCCGTGTGGGCCTGTTTTCAGCCAATTTCAGCATATTTTTGATTATTTCACTTTTGGCCCATATTTTCTCTAAAATTGCAGTTTTGACCCCAAACTTTTCCAATTCTTCAATTTGTACCTAGAATACAATAAATCAACTTTTTAAGCACCAATTATCGTAAATTCACACAAAAAGCTCAACTAAAAAGATACGATAAAGTGTAAATATATACACTTAACACCTACCGCAAGAGGCAGAGGAAGATGACGACGATGATTTTTTTGAAGATGCTCAAATTCTCATCGGTGCTCCGAAAGAAGAAGAATTGGATTCATCTGATATAAAGTGGGATGAAGAGCCGAAAGAAGAAGAATCAGAGTCAACTGAGATAAAGTGGGACGAACACGAGAAATTAACTAGGGAGGAGAACGAAGAGACACAGTGGATATTAGGAGATTTCCATGGTGTTCAAAAGAAAGGAGACGAAGAACCGATGGTCAGTTTGGATGAGAAAAAATCTAAAAAAGCAATTGAAAAGGTTGATTTGTCGGGAGAGAGATTGAGAAATTTCGTTCGAGCAGATGGACTCATATTTGGAAAAGATCTCGATTTTTCATCATGTTTTTCGGATTCAATCGGAAAGCAATTCGATGAAATCAAACATAGGTGGAAACGCAAAAAAAGAGAGAGCTGCAACTATTGAAACCTTGAGGTCAAGGTTCATTTCAATAGGGGTGGATTGTTACGATATATTAATAATTAGTTTATCCTTTAATTATTGATTAAGTTATTATTTAAAGTAGTATAGGTAGTTTTATATTGGGGATAATTAGTGAAAAACCCCCCAATTCATTTGCCTATATTATGGTGAATATAACCTTATTTTCATTATTAGTGAAAACCCCCCACCTTATATTAAATAATTTATTTTTAATTAATATTGTTTTTGACATTACTAATATACCTAATTTGCCCTATTATATCTAAAATAACCAAACATATTTCACGTTCTCTCTATTTCTCTTATTATTCTCTCTATTTTCTCTCTACATATCGCCGCCTCCAACTCTCTTCCATATGTGTTCTGCCACCGCCTCCAACCCTCTTCCATCTCTGCGCCGCCATCGTTACTCTCTTCTCCCAACGGCATTCTTCTCTCCACCGACGCGAAAAGAAGACGGTTTTCACCCATGGGATTCTCTCGTCAAGGACGGCGTTAGGGTTTCCGCTAGGGAGAAAGACGAGATTATGCAGCGGCGCTAGAGTTGATATTGTGTCTGAGATTTCAATACAGACCACCGCCAACATTGTTTCATTGTTGTTGTTCTTCTTCTTTTTCTCTGATTTTTTTTTGGAACCCAATTCTCGAATCTTAATTTTCTTAATTGGAGTTTTTGGTTGAATTCTTATATAGAAGGCTAATTTTGTGTTCAATTAATAGTATAATGGATGTTTGTTTTTGTTGAAATTGTGTGGTGTTATTTATAAATTTATAGATATTTTTCGTACAACAATATAGTTGTTTTCGTACAGCAATATAGTTGTTTTCGTACACCAATATAGTTGTTTCCGTGCAGCATTATAGTTGTTTTTATTACTTTTTAGTTGAATATAATAGTTGATTTAACAAATAGTTGATTTTGATAAATGCGAGTTGCTGGAGATATATAGTTGTTTTAAACATATTGTTTTAATAACAGTTCTTTTAATAATAGTTGTTTTATTGAAATATAGTTGTTTTAACTGAAGACAAAAAAATATAGTAAAAAATTATTTTTAAAAAATATAATAAAAAGTTAAAAAAATATTTTTTTAAATATTTTTTTTAAAATAAGAAATAAATAAAAAAAGAAAATTAAAATAAAAATAAAAAAATAAAAAAAAATAAAAGTGTATCAAAGTAGTGTATAATAGGTAGTGAATAGAGGAAGGGTAAATTTGAGAATAGAAAAATGATGGGTCTCTCACTAATAAATGAAAAGGAGTTGGATCCATCCTCATTAAAATAAAGCTAGAGGGGGTTCTCACTAATAGTCCCTTTATATTGCCGTGTGTTAAGTAGTATTTAGGATAGATATTAAGTATTTTATTAAATAGTCGTCTTGTGCTAAGGTTTTATAAAGAAGAGAAATAATAAAGAAAAGTTTTCTTACGTTTAGTATCATGTAAGCATCACAACTACAAGTAGCATAATGCCATAATCTATAATATTATTAAACTCCATACATCTATATAATAAATATATGAAATGTATCATCTACAACACCAATTGAATAAAAAGAAAATGGTTTTTATTTATTTTATTAATTGATATATTTATTAAATGCAGAAAATAATGGAGTGTAGGTGCCCACAGTTAAGAAAGGTGGTATTATTATTGTTGTTCAAAGAACTGACACTGAATAAAAACTGTGCTAAAGAGGTAACCAACCCCCCAATCGGAATTTCCTTAAAGATACAAATTCTATTTCCCCGTAAAAACGCCGCCGTATATAAGCAACTAAGCATCCGTATAGAGAGAGAGAGAGAGAGAGAGAGAGAGAGAGAGAGAGAGAGAGAGAGAGAGAGTATATCAACGGATAATGTATTCACTTGTTGCAATTTTCGATACATATCAGGCTCTCTGTCACCCTTGATTTCAGAGAAGAGAGAGAGAGAGAGAGAGAGAGAGAGAGAAAGTATATACCAACATATATATAGGGCATGTTAATCCGGATGTTTGCATCATTTTCAAAGATTATTTGTCTATTTATGGATCTCTACGTTGTGATTGCTAGTGAAAAACATTATTCTAAATTCAATTTCGATTTGGGCCGGAATTAGCACTTTTCGAAAAATTAATTTCAATTTTGTCTAGTAATAAATCAGAAAATCAAAGCTTTCGAAATTCTAAATGAAAAATATTTTACTCAAAAATCAGAAAATCAGAAAATCAGAACATTCGAAATTCAAAATGGAAATTAATTTCCGAAAATTGAAAATTTTCTAGATTGGAATAGGATACTACTGGATCTAACTTCTTACTCGGAGAAATTAGATTATACATCTGGTTATTTACACCAAGTGAATTTGAACAGTAGATTTAATTAAATAACTATTTATTAAGCACACATACATAAAGGTGTGTGTAAATCTACCTATGTTTTCATGCATGCACCATAATAGAAGCTAGGGGTATTATACATATATATATATATATATATATATATATATATATATATATATAGAGAGAGAGAGAGAGAGAGAGAGAGAGAGAGAGAGAGAGAGAGAGAGAGAGAGAGAGAAAAGCTCAAAGGTGAGAGGTAGTTAGTTACTTCTATATAAGGAAAGAGAAAGATTCACTCCCAAGGAATTCCCACTTAGGGTAGTTACCCCAAAAAGCTCTTAACAAAAAAGAGGGAGGGAATACTCTCATTGCTTCCATCTCAAACTATACAAATTAATTCCCAAAAGAAAAAAAAAAAAAAAAAAAAAAGACCCTTATCCTTCATACACCTAAAAAGCAATCAACCTTGCATCCTTCTCAAGCAATCACTCCTCTCTACTTATTATTATTACACTATATATATCTATATATATACATATAGGTTGGGCTAAATTTCGACTCGGGAAGAAGAAGAAGAAGAAGAAGAAGCTATGGCAGAAGCCCTTTTATACGGCGAGAGAGAAGCTCGAATCATGGCGGCAAGAGAAATCGGCAATCTCAACACTAAGCAGAAGCAAAGATTAGCCGATAATGGAGTCATTTCTCCATTGGTTTCGATGCTTCATGGCGAAGATTATGACTCCATTGTGGCTGCTCTGTTTGCTCTGCTCAATCTTGCCTTTGGAAGTGAAAGGTTTTGTGATTAAATCTTTTCGCAAAAATCGAAAGTGAGAATACAAAAATTATTCAAGAAAAAATCGATTGATTTTTGTCGATTTTTTTTTTTTGGTGCAGGAACAAACGATGTATAGCGAAAGCAGGGGCGATTGCAGCCATAGTAAAGATTCTGATCCAATTCAAGAACAATGAGTCTTTAATGGAAATGGGATTGGCTGCACTTTTGATACTCTCTTCTTGCTCGATGAATAAACCCGAAATCGCGTCTTCCGGTGCGGTTCAGCTTCTCTTGGAATTACTGGACTCGGAGTTTCCAATAGGGCAAAGCATTAGCCATCAGGTGAAATTCGATATCATATCCACACTTCACAACCTATCAACTTCACCACAAACAATCCCATCGATTCTCCTCTCCGGCGGATTAATCACTTTGATCCAATTGATTTACGAGTACGACAACTCGTCCGATTTGGTGGAGAAGGCAATGGCCTTGCTGGAGTCGATTGTATCTTCGTCCGAAGTCGCCTTGAGTCAGGTATTTTAACAAACACCTTACCTGCATGCTCATAAATGGCAACTGCAACAAAGGTTTTGAAATTTGATGACTTATTTTTTAGGTTTGTGAAGTTGGGGGTGTGATAAGGATGTTGGTGGAGGCGGTGGAGGAGGGGACGGCGGCGTGCAGAGAATACGCCGCCGGGATACTGGTGCTTATATGCAGAAGGTGCAGAGAGAGGTACAGGGTGATGATTCTGAAGGAAGGGGCGATGCCGGGGGTGATGCATTTGAGCGTTGACGGCACGTGGCGAGCTAGAGAGAAGGCTAAAGCTTTGCTTTTGCTGCTTAGAGACTGCAACAATGGCGGCGGCGGTGGATCTTCTTCTTCGTCTTCTTCGACGGAGAGGGTTCAGTTTTCGAAGAATGTGGCTTTGGAAGAGGTAATGAGAGAGATTGATAGAGGGGGAAGGAGTGGAACTTGTGTTCGGATGGTGGAGGAGATGATCGCCAAACTTAGAACATGAATACATGATATGTATGTTTCATTAGTTATATATCATGCTCTCTTTTTATTCTTTTTCTTTTTTTTTTTTTTTTTTTGCTTGTCTAGATGTCCTATCATTAGATGTTGTGTAGAGGGTGTGGATATACTTGTTTGAATGGATTTTTTTTTTTTTTTTAATTTACAATATATGGGTTTGGGTAGAACTCATTTCCGAAACCAGACATCGTTTACAAACTCGTGATTTCCGAAACCGGACATCACCTACAAACATCGTGATTCGACACCATGTCGAATGAGTTTAAAAAATGGTGTTCATTTCACATATATATATATTCATTGTACGAGTATAGGTGATTTGAGAATTGCGACAAATACAACCATCTAACAATGATTAAAAATTTCATAGTTTTAGAATTTAATTATGTTCCTAAATCATTATTTCATGTAGGTGCGCGCTTTAAGCAATCACCGCTCAGATTCAGACCAATTAACTAGTTCTATGATGACAGACAAATTTAATTACCAGAAGAAGTCAACAATTGCCGCACACAAAACGGCAAGCTGACGCTAGGTCAATTCGATGCTACACCGAGTGAAATACACGAGATAGATTTTTACCATTCATATAAACACCTACACCCACATTGGTGTGTGAAGATCAAAAGTAAAAAAATCACCCGGTGTAGTCTTCACCGGGAGGAGCATAGAAATAACCTTACGGACCAATGGAATAAGGGGACCACATTTTAAGCTATAAATACTGCACACACATATAAGAGTAAAAATCTGAGGATGCACCATACTCCAAAAGCACCTGATAAAAACCCTCGAGCATTAAAAATGAACCGAACAAACATTTTTAGTACCCATACACATGGCATATAAATGATTGCACCACGTGATGATAGTGTACCTACCTGGTGTGTATTCTACCAAGTGCACAAATCCAACAACCCAATCCACACAACACGCACATCGGTGTGGATTGGACGGTGAATTTAGGACCGGATGGATATCTCGAGATCAAATATCGATAAGCTAAGATAGACAGGATCGCATTCTCACATTTAGTTATACAGATACGATCTATAAAATGGCCACCCTTGAGGAGGACGGTAGTGAAATATCGATAATACAAACCCAGTCAACAGTGTATTAAAATCTCAATACAACTCGATTTCTAGCTTATTCCATTTTTTTGTTTTTTCGCACAAACATAGTCTGCATAGTAATTCATATACTCGAGTATTATATATATCCCTACAAAAATCGAGGGGAATTAAACTCCCTATCTTAACCATTTAAAAGGCAATATGTTTGGCAAAAAAAATAGCAATTTTTTCACCTTGCTTTTCGGTACACACCATAAGCCACAGCAACTGTAGCTAATGCACCCAAAATAGCAACAGTAGTGAGGGTATGATGCTGCTCCCATTTCCCCGTATAGCAAGAGAGTCCTTTCTTAACTGGCTTCTTCTCGACATTCTCTTCTTCTCTGCAGCATGAGAATGCATTAGCGCCTTGGCAACAGCCCCCATTACTTGCCGCCTTTTCTTCAACAACAATCTCTTCAGCCTGTTTTTCTTCGCTGATTACAGTTGTTCCATTAGCAAGCTTTGGTTCCTCGACTTTTTCAACCTCCTCAACTTTTGCACCCATTCCACCCCTGTGTATAACCATAATATAAAAAGAAAATCAATCCTCATAATTGAAGAAATTCCAAAAGGACAATGTTACTTCTCATTATTGCGAAAGCAATAACTAAAACAGAACCTAAATCTCCAGCTTCTATTATTATCCAAAGTAGAAGGGGGGATGAAAGATATAGCTCAAATCACATTGCAGTTTATTTTTTTCTACAAGTATGATGGAGAAAAACAATATCGCATTTTATTGGCAAGGAAAGGCGAATTTACTGGTTTCACACTAGAATCCAGTCTTTAAGAATGATTTTATTCTCAAGTCACAATAACTAGAAGAAGAATAAAAATAAAACACACCTCCAAATACGGTCAATGACTTTTCCCTGCCCAATTTGTTTATCAAGCAATTCATGAACATCGCCAGGTGTAACATACCCGTACCTGCATAAAGGAATATGGACCATTCATTTGCCGTTATGATGTAAATCAACATGCAACACATACAAAACTATATGAACTAAACATTTAGCTAAAATAAATAAAAAAAAAAACAGAGCAGAAAAAGTGTAGTCCTTACCAGTTACCAGCAATTTTTCCATCAGAATCTGCACTGAAAACTATCACGTTGCCTGCATACTTGTGCCCTCCTACATGTGAGCAAGCAACCACAGATACCTGGTTCTTCAAATCCTTGGATCCAATTTCCTCCTTAAACTTCTCAATCAGAATAGGGCCACAAACACCACATCTGCGGTCTCGATTGTTATGAGCACAGACGAACACATATGAGCCAGTCATCTTTTCCTGCACTTCCTTTCCATTTACAAGCACATCCTCAACAAAGCTATCCACATCTGACTCAGTCAAACCCCTTCAGTACACAAAACAACCACAATTTCCAACCAATTAAAACTTAGGCAATCAAGACGTCAATTTACAAATCTAACTGTCGGCTCATTGCCTTAAGATACATCGTATATAGTGTAGTAGTGTAGTCTATAGTGTATTCCAATTTTGAAGCATAATGCAAACTATAATTATGAAGTGCTATTGGTGTTCTACAGGCCAAGGAGAAACACAATTGAAAAAACTAAGATGAGTTTGGCTATGAGCAGTAAAAGCTGATAAAAACAAAGGCCGATAGTATTTTCCACTCCAACACTGGCATAAGTATGTTCATTTTTACAGAAGCACGACTGAACATCATAGACCAAATTTCATTCATACCTGTATACAACCATTTCAGGGAAAATCAGTACATCTCCATCCGACAGCTTCACATCATCGCCTGCCTCGCATATGGTCAAACGAGTCTACAAATTCCAAAATCATCAGACCAAGAAGGTAATATCATCCAAACTTAAAAGGTAAATGTGTTTTGATATCTTTCCAAGAAATACACCAAACGCGGTAAAAACAATTGAAAAAACGCGGTTAAATACACATTAGCTGATGTGGCAATAGAGCAAGACTACATCTGAAATACAAATTGCAAGTGCATACAAATAACAAATCTACTGTGCTTCACTAAGTAATAATGAAGTCAACAAATAACGAACAAGCCAGCTCACCGGGTTAAACCATCAAAACTTAAACAAGACAAATGGTAAAAAGCTGATTTAGCTATATATATGAACACCACATCTAGATGTGGAAATGCAAATACACATGCTAATCCATAACCAATATACTGACTAATTTCCTCAGCTACTAATGAAAAGCAAATTGAAAATAAAGCACAAAGAAAACAAGTTTCAGTGAATTTTGGAGTAGATATTGTCTATATGCAAAAAGAAAAGAAATGAGAAGGGGAAAAACTCATCTAGCATGGCAAAATTTCTCGATGTTGAATTCTATTTTAGATGTTTTAGGAATCCTCGTCCTTGTTTGCATATAATTGACCTTTAACATACACACACTCTACACACACACAATTTCTAGATGTTGAATTAATGAATTCTATTTTATTTGTTTTAGGAATCCTCGTCCTGGTTTACACGACGTATAGGCTATAAGATACACACACACTCACACCACACTCACACCACACACACACAAAACCTGATTGTCTACTATTTAGTTTCCTCAAACGTTTTAAGTATTTCGTGTTTGTTTGAAAATTTGTAACATGAAGTATTCAAAATCAAATCTGAAAACGTACAATTCTAAGCTCAATGAAGTTCTCTGTTCTACTGAAAACCTTATCATATGTAAATGAAACGTAATTATAAATGGATTATTATGATAACATATTCAAAACACATCAAAATCAGTTTTCCGTAACTACTAGTACGAACACAACACAGATCTCATCTCTGAAAGAAAAACAAGTATATATACAAACCGATCTAGCAACAACATAACCAAACCATATCTACAAAAATGAAAAACGCATACGCAGAGTTAAAATATGCAAACAACTAAAATAAAAAAATAAAAAAAGTAGAAAAACACGCTTTACTCTAATAGTACGGACCTTGAGATTCATATCGTTTTTACGAGCTTTCAGGGCGGAGGCGAGCAGCTTGGGGAGCGGATCGGCGTCGGAATCCTCGACGCGTGAAGGCCACGACTCGTGAGACTTGTAGCAGAGAAAAACGTGACGATCGTACGGGTCAACGGTTCCGGCGAGCTTGCTTTCGTACATCTCGCTTCGCTCGAAGCCGTACTTGGTGGCGGTCTCATCGACGGCGGTGGAGAAGCTCTCGGATTCTCCGGCCATGGTGAAGGAGGAGGAGGAGGAGGAAAACGATTTAGGGGTTGGATTAGAGATGAAGCGGGTGGGAGAGATTTTTTGAAGGTTTTTGGAAATGGTTTTGGGGGAGTGGAGCGTGAGATATATTTGTGTGACCGAGGTGATAGATCGGGTCGGGTACCGAATTAGCATCTCACGGGTTTTTGTATGTCAAAATTGCGTGACAAGTAATTTTAACTTTGAAGTTCAACTAAACGACGTCGCATCGATAAGTGGCAAAGTCGCAATTGTAAAGAATTTTGACTTTGAATACGCGACTATGGTAGAGACAAATCTTTAGAACTCATATTTATAAATTTGAATTCGTGAATTTTGATGAAGTTTAAATGGCCCTAAGAATTAATGATAAAAATGAAATAGGCCTTGGGGAGAAAGAGAAGAAAGAAAGCTCAATCGAGAAAGAGCTCAACTGACCTAGGAGAGCTACTAAAAAGGAAAGTCAGGGATGGGTTTTTCGACGTTAGAATTTGAACGAAGTATCTATGGTAGATGTAAAGAATGGTATATTGAATGTAATATATGGAGAGAAGGAACGTGTTTTTCCTTGTATTCCACGGCTGAATTTATACCTGCCATGGGTATGAGTCTGGTGGGACCCTCTGTCTTATCAAGTCATAATGCACGTGTATTGTAATGTGACTTGATGCGAAATCATTTTACATATTGAAGGCGGTTTGTTTCCTCTCACATCGACCTCAATCGCTCCGTGGTTGCTCTTAATTGCCCTAAACGAGCTCACTATTGGTTGGTAGGCCTCTTTATAGTCCATTTCACAATGTAGAATTTCCTTCCCTATTTATGACATTGGGTTGAATGTAGGGGTGGGCATTCGGGTCGGGTTATTCGGGTATAACCCGACCCGGTCGGGTATTACCCGACCGGATCGGGTAATTTTTGACGTAACCGGGTTTTTCCCGGGTTCGGGTACCCGGTGATCCCAAACCAGGTCGGGTCCGGGTAATAGAAATTCTACCCGGGTACCCGATCGGGTACCCGGTTTGAAATTTTTTATATATATATATATATATATATATATATATATATATATATATATATATATATATATATATATATATATATATGTCTGTAATACAGACTATGTATATATATATATAAGTCTATGTTTGTATGTATATATATGTATATGTCTGTGTATATACATATATATATATGTATATCAGTATATGTATATGTATATGTCTATATATATATATATATATATATAATATATATATGTATATCAGTATATGTATATGTCTATATATATATATAATATATATGTATATCAGTATATGTATATGTATATTTCTATATATATATGTCTGTATATATATGTATATCTTAAGTAAATTTAGTTACTATTTATTTTTCACAAAAAAAAAAAAAAAAAAAAACAAAACCCCCGGGTACCCGGTTATTTCGGGTCGGGTTCGGGTAATTTTTTTTTTTGCAAAAAACCCGATAACCCGACCCGAATAACCCGACCCGACCCGAATGCCCACCCCTAGTTGAATGTAGAAGATATGCCGTTATACATGTCGTATGTAGGGATACATATTTGATAGGCTTTAACAGTTGTAGTGGGTGAGGCAACCTTAGGTCTGGCCGCCCTTAGGCTTTGTATAGGGCTTTTAAATCAAGTCCCTGATCAAAATCAACTACTCAATTGGTTCGTTTTGGACGGACGCAAAGTGCTCTGTTTAGAGCAAACCTTATGTCTTTTTACTGATTTTTTTTTCAACGGGCTTATTTTTATATTACAGTTATATCCAATATGCACTCGTTGTACTCCCCCAGTTCGATGGGTTGGAGCAGAGAGTGAATCGGGCGAACTATTGTTCGTCTTTTACGAAAAGAATCAACGCACTGCTTACCCATTTTGCTGATAAGCGAGTGAACAGGTGTCGGTCATGAAGAAATAATGTACGCACGACTTACCCATGTCGTTGGGGTGTAGTTAAGTATTTGGTAGGTTTTAGCAGTTGTAGTGTATAAGACAACCTTGGACATGGCCCACTATTGACACACGTAATGTATACGTGTGTTTAGAGGGATGTTTTATTCAACCAATGGGCACCTGACAAATAATATTTATGACATAATTTGACTGATTAGTACTAATCAGTCTTAAAGCAATTAGATCAATCCACGAATTCTTCTTGATTGAGGACATGCAACATTACTATCATCATTAAAATCATATCATTGTCAATTTGCCATCCACCTAATAAATTATCTTTAATGCATGGTCCCTAATTACACTTGACTTATTACCAATTCCTCTCATCATTTTCTTGCACGCTAAAGCAAAGTTAAAAGTAAAATTACATACATTAAATAAATACACACAAGTGTGTGTGTTTTGTGAAAATGGGAAAGGGCAAAAGGAAATTGTGGGTCCTTAGTGTTTGTGAAAATAAAAAAAGGGACAAAGAAACTTACATATGATTCCAACTTTTTTTTCTTTTAGAAAAATCGGAATTTTACCGATCCAATCAAACCATTTTCCAGCCCAATTGAATTAATTTAGAAAAAAAAAAAATCAGAAAAAATCAATCTCGTAGTATTTACCCGAAGGCTTCACATCGACCGACGGTGCATGCGCATGCGCAGGTGCAGGTGCAGGTGCACCCTCATCCTGCATCATCACAAACGGCACAGGCACATCCGGTGGACTAGCACACCGGATCAAAGCCCAATTCACGCTCTGAAAGAAAGGGTGCTGCTTTATCTCGGTCGCACCACGCCTATACGCGAGCCTATTCTGCGGCTCCTTCACAAGCAAACCCCTAATCAAATCACGCGCAGCAAAGCTCACACTAGTACCTTCTGGAAACCTCAAGGGCTGGCCCACAACATTGAACAACGTCGCCCTATTCCCTTGCCCCTTAAACGGGGTCCGCCCAAACAAAAGCTCGTATAAAAAAATACCGAAAGTCCACCAATCCACCGCGCTTCCATGCCCTTCGCCCTTTATAATTTCAGGCGCTAAGTATTCATGCGTCCCGACAAATGACATGGAGCGGGCGCTCGTGGGCTCCGCCATGAGTTCCGGAAGAGGGTTGACTTGGGTGTTGACCTCCGTTGACTTTTTGTTCACTTTTTTCGATTTGGGTTTTAAGAATCTTGGTCCGAAGCATGTGGGTTGAATGCAAGATGGTTGGATTACGCACGAGGGTTCGATACAAGAGGCTTTGGACTCTAGGGTTGGGCTGGAGGACTTAACTAGGGTTGGGCTGACTGTGCACCTTAACGAAAGGTCGAAATCCGAAAGCATTATGTGGCCGTCTTCTCTCACTAGAATGTTTTCGGGTTTGAGATCTCTGTATATGATTCCGAGCATGTGGAGATACTCTAATGCGAGAAGAACTTCGGCTACATAAAACCTGATAAGAGTAGCATTAAACATCTTTAAAATCCACACACACACAAACTAATTTCAAGAATTATATTAGATACACTTAATTACCTTGCAGCACTCTCTGGAAAACACTTGCCAGGCTGTCTTTGCCGAAGCGCATGCAAATCTCCACCTGGGCAAAACTCCATCACAAGAAAAGACAATTTCTCTGTCTCGAAATGACTATACAAAGTCGGAAGAAACGGGTGATCAAGACACTGCAAAATCTCTCTTTCTGTTTGTGCCCTTAGAAGTTTCTTCCTACTAGCTAAAACTTCCTTATCCATCACTTTAATCGCAAAGCAAGTCCTTGTACCTATAAGCTCCGCCAGGTGTACGCTGCCTATATCGCCGCCCCCCAATTTCTTGAAAACCCTAAAATCCTTCAAGTCCAACGACCTTTGATTACGTGATCTAACGGCCTGGATCGCTTCCCATCTCACGTCGTTTGATTTGTGGGGTTTGTATATAGCACTGCTAAAGCTACTCGAGCTGCTCTCTTCGCTGACATCACTGCCTGTGCTTCCTCTGTAGATATTACTACTTTTTCTACCCTCGATAACATCATCACACGAGTTTCTAACCTGACCGTTATTATTTTTTTCTTCACCGTTGGAATCAATTAGGTCCTTTCCTTTATTGAACCTGATTTTATCACCATCTTCTTCACGGATAATAAAGCGAGATTCTTTATAGGAGCTTTTGGAACTAGTGTTATGGGCAGTTTTTGTGGTGTGATCGGGAGGTAATTCGTGAGATAGAGACGAGCTTTCGTATCTATGTTGTTTGGTGGATGGATGAAGTGGGGCCCGGCGAGTTCGTGGAACAGAAGCATTAAAATCTAGAGTGGCTACTGAATTGGATGTCATCTTCAGAGAAGAATATCCCTCAATGAAGCGATTATCTGACATTGAAAAAGCACTTTGTCACTTGAACAATCATCCAGCAAACTAAGCACATGTTTAAGAAACGGCGAAACGAAACAGATGTTTATCAAGAAAATTTGAAGCAAGAATCAAACATACATAATCAGAATGCAAATTTAACAGCTTCACTGAAAACTAATATTGCACCTTCTGCAGAAAAAATCGAATAAGACTAAAAAAAATTAACAATAATTCCGGTTTCGACTTTCGACACAAAACACAATCAAACACTGTAAAATTTCTCCAATGATTCAATAATATCAAAAAAAAATCAGCGAATCTACAGATTAACATATAGAACAAAAAAAACTTTAAATCAAACTAAAAATTATCTCCTTCTTAATCAGAAAGTGATTCCAATTCCAGATTCTAATTTTTAGGGCTTAAATTAACACATAAACAAAAATTAAATAGTCAATTAGCAAAACCAACAAAGAACACAACAGTAAAAAAAAAAAAAAAAAAAAACATATCAGATAATTTAATTACCTTATCTGTGAAACGAAAATGCTGAATAATCGTTCATCGCTATGAATTCTGAATTCGGACAACTGTATCTATATTTTTGTTTTCAGATCCGATCAAAACAAGGCGGAGTTAGAGGAAGATTGGATTATACTTTAAAACGCACAAGAGAACAAAGGGAAAAAACAATGAAGAGTGTGTTGTAATTTTGTGGAGAAAGGGATCGAGAGAAACAAAGAAATGTGCCTGCAAAAGTAGAAAAAATTGCCAATGGGGGTTTCTTCTACCTTTGCTTAATGAAATCGAAAAGCCGTCTTTACTCTAATTAAGTATATAACCTCTCTCTCTCTCTCTCTCTCTCTCTCTCTCCCCCATTAATCTTCCACCTTTTCTTCTCTCTCCTCTCTCTCTCTTCTCTCTCTCTAGTATTTGTACGAAGGGAAGTTAATAATACAGTACACTCTTCGTATACTTACATTGGAACGCGGTACGTGTGTTGGTGTGTTTAATGAAAAAAAAATATATATTAGAATTTTAAAATTTTGAATTTTAAATATATTTTACATAATTAAATGCTTCCGAATGGGAGAGCAAAAATAGGTTTTTATCTTATGTAAGGATTTAGGTTATTTTTAATATATATTAATAAGTAAATTTGATTAAATTTAAACAATCTCATAAATAGTAAAGCTTCTTTACTTTTCATTTAACTTTGCAAAATATCACATTTTTCCACTTTTTAACTTGTACATAACCATCAAATCGGGGTTATAAGAACTTTAATCATGAAATTGAGTTTTTTTTATGTTACATTGACGAACTTTATCGAATTATATAATATCATGCACTTTGTATAGATTAATACATATTTGTATGTATATTTAGACAACCAAATATGTATAAGTACAATTATTTATATATGAAAGATGTAAAACTACGATCGTATTTCACCACGTATAACATCTACATAACAGTAATTTTGAGTATAAGTAATTTTAATGTGTCATCCAAGTTCATGCACTTGGTATGAATAGGGATAGTAAAAACAAAGGGAACATAAATTATAATCACATGGGATTGAGTAACTAATTGATTTACTTATTTTCACCAAAAAAAAAAAATTTTGATTTAATTATTAGAAAACAAGTAGGTGCCACGTGCAAGCACGTGAATATGGGCCGTGTCTTGCGGACAATTGTTGTTCACATATAGGCCCATTTGTAGAGCTACTCTCTCCCTACATATATCTTTTGTTTTTCTTTCCTTTTTATTTTTCATATAAATAATAATTTTATTTAAAATCAAATTGAGAATATTCAATTTAAACATGTAGAAAAAAAAAATCAATTCATACAATTAACAAATTGGTAAAATGATAGACAAATAAATCTACATGCATTTGGAAGTCATTTCAGACTGAATTTCAGTTTTAATTTCCATTCCAATCAGAAAATTAGCCTTAAAAAGTTGTACCAATTTGTTCAACACAAATAGAGTTCTATATAACAAAACACTAACAACACACTACTCTCATATTTGTAAAGCCTCCATTATTCCCTACCTTCCATAAGGATGGTACCTTCCACTTCCACCACCACCACCACCGCCATACCCTCCTCGGTTTCCATAAAACGAACCTCCACCACGGCCACCATAACCACCATCATAACCACCACCACCACCATACGCACCACCACCACCACCATACCCTGCATAGCTATCTCCGGGCCCACCATACTCATTACCTACATCATAGCCTCGACCGAAGCCACCCCCAAAACGGGAATATTCTAACGAAGGATCCGCCCTAAAACCTCCATAGCCACCCCCAGCACCGTATCCACCATAATCACCGTACTCAGGTCCACCATAACCGCCGTAAGGACTCGGTCTACCTCCGTAGGGTCCACCTCCGTAGGGCCCGCTTGATCTATAAGAAGTGGGGCCAAAACTGTTTCCGCTAAAACGACCACCGTATTCACCGTAAGTATCTTCGAGCGCACCGCCAAATGGAGGTCTGGAATTACTTTGACGCCTCGATGGTGGAGGTAATAGGCTTGGCTTCTTCGGCTCTGCCTTTTTTATCTCCACCTATGCACAATAAAACAAATAGATACTCTTAAACATAAAATACACTAAAGAAAATTAAATAACATTGCTTCGATACAGACAGATGTGAGGTTTGAGCAGCCAAATTTTAATCCCAACAACTGCTGATTACTAAAGGAACACATTCTACACAAACCTTCACACGATAATACAGAAGAAGAGTATTAATAATGGGGGTAGTTTTTTATACATTAGATACGAATATCGATGTGTGTTTCTGCATTTTTTTATGTGGGAAATAATTTATTTAGATAGCGAATAGCCCGATCATTTAGTTAATTACGGAAAAATAGACAAAATATAAGGCAGATGAAAAGGGCGAATTGCAAAGTACGATATTTACTTGCCAAATCAGATGTAGTTAAAAGCATTTACACCAAACAAGGTATTAAAGAAACCTAACAGAACGTGTGTGGCCATTAAATATAATAAATCGCCAAAATATCTTGACATATTGATAGGAAAATAAATTAGTATAAGTTACACGTGTTTCGAATATCATTTTATTAAATGGTATGGAGGCATCTACGTACCTGAGCTCCATGAAAGTCGATCCGGTTACCATTTGCTAAAAGATCATCAACAGAGCGATCAGATTCAAATGTGACGAATCCAAAGCCACGAGACCTACCAGTCGAGTGATCCCTCATAATTTGTTGCTCCACCACTTCTCCGTAATTAGAAAAGAAGCCCCTGAATTCATCTGCCACATAACAAATGCAACGAAAATCAACCCCACAAAATAAATAAATAGGGACCGACATTTTTCCAAAAGAAATTTTGAAATTACCTTCGTCTACAGTTGTTGGAAGACCACCAACGAAGATCTTCTTTGTCTTGAAATCTTTGGAGCCCCCTCCTCTTGGTATAGTTCTCTTTATTTCTACCTTTAAACGGTCAAATAAATGTCAGAAAAAACGTAAAAATAATGCATATAGATCTTAAAATTGAAATTAATATTCGACCTACTTGTTTTCCATGAAAAGTGTGTGTGTCCTCAATAACCCTATCAACCACAGCAGCATCAGCGTATGTCACAAACCCGAACCCTCGAGGCTGCCCTGTATTCCGGTCCTTCATTATCACCGAATCCGTGATTTCTCCGTATTTACCAAAATGCTTTACGAATTGTGCTGTATTCAATCAACAGTAAATATCAAGGCTCCATTTAAAATTCTAAAACCTAAAATTGTATCATTGAATAACAAAAATTGGGGAAAATTTGTTTCAAACAGTACAAACACAATTTTATTTAAATATATGTATGAAATATGAAATGCAGTTTACCAGATGTTGTTTCTCGAGCAAGACCTCCGATAAATATTTTACTACCTCGCACAAAAAAAATTGATAAAAATCACTATCAGCAATTCGTTCACATGATGAACAAACAAATACATAAATAAAATTAAAAAAATTAAAAAAGAGATATTAAATTACCCAGGACTAGCTTCGTTGCCGGCGTGACGGCGAGAACTCTCGTAGTTCATGTTATCGGGGCTTCTCTGATCGTCGTCGTTTTCCTCTTGTAGCCTAGGGTCGATTTTGCTGCCAATTTGATGCTCATCCATGGTAACGGCGTTTGGAATTTTTGACGGCGGTTGGAGATGGCTGTTTGCAGTGGGTACAAGAAGCAGGGGTTAAAGATAAGCCTGAATTGAGGCTCGATTGGTCGATTCTTATGAACTTTGTCGGCGAATTTCAATTTGGCCGAAACCCTACCAGAGTTAAATGTAGACGCAGCCGATATATTTCGTCCTTTTTTATATGCAGTGGCTTAAGAAGTTTATATTTACACATTTGCCCCTTGAGAATTTACAAATTACTATTTCATTCCAGCTAGGGGTGTTTTGGGCAGGCTCGAGCTCGAGCTCGTCGAGTTCTTTATAGGTTCGAGTTCGTGCCATTTTGTCGAGCTCGAACCCAAGCTTTTTTTTTTTTTTTTGAATTATTTATTTTATTATTATTAAAAATTATTTAAAAAATTACAAAACAAACAATAAATTGTAATTATATATATTTTTAATATTTATATTTTATTTTTATAATAATTTATATTATTATACATTATTCAAATACAAAATAATATATAAAAATAATATTATAAACAAGGCTCACGAGCCGGCTCGTGAGCTCATGAACAACTAAAAACTGGCTTGAACTCGACTCGTCAGAAAGCTCGAGCTCGAAAAACTCGAGTCCGAGTTCGAGATTTTTTCGAGTCGGCTCATCGAGCTCACGAGTCGGCTCGGCTCGTTTACCACGCCTGCTAAACATATGTTTGTTAAATTTTATTTAATTTTAATATTGGTTTGATAAGCAATCTAACCCAATTTGAGTAGTTTCTTATTTAGTTCATATTGTAATATTATCGTAATCAAACTCGAGTCGAGTTTATACGAAATTTGTGTTCAAATTATGATTGTTATATCAGTAAATCAATTTTAGAACACGTTTTTAACGAGTAATCTAATTTGAGTATTGAGTTATTTAGTTCAATTTACATCCGTATCTGTAATAATAATTATTCATTTGTTTGATTTCATTTTCCTTCCTCATCACTCAAAATGTTCGACTAATGATATATATATATATATATATATATATATATATATATATATATATATATATATATATAT